ACACACACACACACACACACACACACACACACACACACACACACACACACACACACATCCATAGTTTGTAGAAACTTGGGAATGCTGGGTAGGATTTCTGCATGAAAGCACCCTTTAGATTAGAACTTCATCAGCCTATCCTCTTCCCCAAGGTCCAGGTTGGGGGATGGGGGTACGGGGAAATAACCTCCACTCACATGTGATTTTTGTGCCATGTGGCACAAGGTGGTGCTCCACTGTAGTCTTTATTTATCTTTCCAAGAACCTCAGGAAACCCACATTGATGAATTCCCTGTCCTGGTGAGCAGCCAAAATGTCATCTCTCCTTAAGCCCAGCCTTGATCCAGGAAGCCAAGGGTAAACCAAGGCCTGAGAGACTGGTGCCAGACATGGGGTGGAACACTACTGATTCCCCACTCTAGGCTCAGAGGCACTCTTCTCACTAATATAAAGAGCAAAAAGATGTTAGCAGTAAACTTGTCCATCAAAAAGCCAAAGGGAATAGGATTTAGAGCTTAAAAATGGTCTTAAGAGATCATATTTAAATGAATAGATTAGACTAGATGAGAATGCCTATTGTTTCTTTAAAAAAGTGGTCTTGGAGCCAATTTTTACAGGGTCCTTAAAATACTTCTCTTGAGTTTTTAGCTGTCAATCCCATTTTTCTCCCTCTGGAATGATCTTTGGGCACCTACTTCTTTTGGTCTCCAGCGTCAGCCACTGCACAAAGCTGAGTGGTTTGATCGCAGGGATTCTGTCTACAGAATACTTACTTCAAGGCCCCTGCTGGTTCATCCTGTTCATGCAGGGTCCAGAGCTTAAGACTTCTCAAAGCCAAAAATTTCCAGCTGGGGGATTTTTAGAGGAGATGCCATGTTGGTTTACAGGAAGGAAACCTAAATGGAAACAGGACTGTCTTGAGTTAATGCCTTCACAAGGACCCATGGCTAGGTTCTTTGGGAAAGAAATAGTCCTGGGCTAACAGAGAGTTAAATTCTCAATTGCAGGGAGTCATCTGTGGGAGAGCTGGCCACTAGGAGGGCTCCTTTGCTCAGATCCAGTGGCTTAAACCTCTGAGTGTTTCAAGTTCTTGGCCTGTAAGATGGGGGAGGGGCTTTAGAGGATTTCAAGATGTACCAAAGGATCTTACTCTTCCGCCATGCACACCTCAGGTTGGGCTCTGGACACCAGCAAGGGAAACATTTCACTGAAATCTTTTGATGGTTCCTCTTCCCACCCCCACACCCAGGGAGATAGGAATTCTGTGAGAAATATGAAAAGGGGACCAAAGTTCCCATGAACGTTTAAAAAAAAAAGTATAAAGAACATAATTGGCGGGGACAGTATTGAACACAGAAGGCTGTGGAAGCAGTACCCTCAAATCCAACAAAAAAAGTCCAAAACGGCAAAAAATACTAAAAACAAAAACCCTCTTAAGCCATGTCTAAGACTACCTTCAGCCCTTTAAGAGCCTTTCTAGGAGTGGCTGAGGATGGCTGTTAGAAATGGCAGTTGAGGAAGGGCAGTTGGGAGTTGGGAGCATCTCAGTAGGAGATTGTGATGACACCCCCCCACCCCCAAGAGAGCTTGGGTTTTCCTGTGGGAAAAGCTATCATCAGACAACACTCTGCCCCCTTCGTTTTCTATCATGGCAGGGTAGAGATGATATAAAAAAGAGAACTGTTTGCCTTAAATGGAGACTTGGACTCGGGGTGCATGCTCCATGGAATGGCCAATTATTATTCCTCACTGCCCAGGCCCGTAACAGCAGGAGAAACGTGGCCAGGGAGAGAGAAAAGCGGTGGGCCGAATGCCATTCTGCACCGTTCTTCTCTCCTCCTGCATCCAAGGGAAGGAGTGCAAGATTCCTGGAGTCATTGCTCTGCACCAAGTGGGTGGTTGCTCAGGTCATAGTTAATGAACGGAACAACATTGAGACTAGGGAAGGAACCCGCATCCCCCTCCCCTGCCCTTCTCCCTAACTCCTTTCTTCACTGCCTCCCCTTTCCCTAGGGGCCCCTTCAAAGCCTAATCCTCCCATACCCAACCCCCCACCCCCCTCCCCAACTCCCTGCAGCTTCCCTCCTTTCCCCTAGCTGTGCGGCTTCTCCCTCCAAACACCCTGGGCCTCCTCCTTTCAGCTCTCCCCCGCCCCTCCCTCCCTCCCGCAGCAGCTCCCCACTCCCTCCTCCGCCCCCTCCCCTCCGCGCCCTGAATGGCGGCTTCGGCCCCTTTCACAATAGCGCCCCCTCCTCTCGCCTCCTTTTTCCCTTCCCTCCCGCTGCCCTCCTGGGCGCATGCGTCCTGCGCTCGGCGGCAGCGGTGACTCCGGCTCCGGGAGACTCCGTTTTTTTTAAAGGGAAACGCGAAGGCACCGGGGGCGGTGAAGGGGGTGGGGACCCCAGGCAGTGAAGACCCGCGGGGGGGCGGGGGCGGCGGTGACGACCAACTCCCCCAAGCAGCGGGCCCATCCCGCACCCCCCTCCTGAGGAGGGGGGGGCCATGGTGGCGCGGGGCGGCTGAGGCGAGCTCCAGGGCGGGGGGCCGGGGCCGGGGCCGGGGCCGAGCGGCGGCAGCGGCAGCGGCGGCGGCGGCGGACTCTGGGGATGAGCCCGGGGGCGGCCGGGTGCGGGCTCCCGCCTCCCAGGCGCAGGCGGAGGCGGCAGCGGCAGCAACAGCGGCGGCGGCGGCAGCAGCAGCAGCAGCAGCGGCGGCGGGGCCCCCATGGGCGGGCGGCGCGCCCCAGCCGCGGCCTCGACTTCTCCTCACGGGGGCGGGATGGCGCCCCGGCCCGGGGGGAGCAGCGCTAGCCGAGGCCCGGGGCCGCGCCGCTGAGCCCAGCGCCGCGCCAGCCGAGCCCAGCTCGCCCAGCGCTCCCGCTCCCGCTCCCACCTGCCCTCGCCCCCCAGCCCAGCCCAGTCCGCGCCCTCCGCCCCGGGCCACCATGACCATGAGATCGGCCGTGTTCAAGGCGGCCGCGGCGCCCGCCGGCGGCAACCCCGAGCAGCAGCAGCGGCTGGACTACGAGCGGGCGGCGGCGCTGGGCGGGCCCGAGGAGGAGTCCGGGCCGCCCGAGGCCCAGTTTCTCTCTCGCCATCGTAAGCTCAAAGAGCCTGGGCCGCCCGTGGCCTCCTCGCAGGGGGGCAGCCCGGCGCCTTCCCCGGTCGGAGGAGGAGGAGGCGGCGGAGGTGGAGGAAGCGGCGGCGGCAAGGGCCGGGGCTTGGTGCTCCCGGCCGGGGCGGCCCCCGGGCAGCAGGAGGAGAGTTGGGGTGGCTCCGTGCCCCTGCCGTGCCCGCCCCCCGCCACCAAGCAAGCCGGGGTTGGAGGCGAGCCGGCCGCGGCCGGGGCGGGCTGCAGCCCCCGCCCCAAGTACCAGGCGGTGCTGCCCGGCCAGACGGGCTCCCAGGTGGCGGCGGCCGCGGACAAGGGCGGGGCCACCCCGCCCGCCGCCACCGCCTCGGATTCGGCGGGACCCCCGCCGCTCCCTCTGGCCGGGCCGCCGCCACTGCCGCCCGCTGCCGCCGCCGCCGCCACTACCACCGCCGCAGCCGCCGCCGGAACCCTGGCGTCCTCGGAAGGGCGATGGAAGAGCGTAAGGAAGAGCCCCCTCGGGGGCGGCGGCGGCTCGGGCGCCAGCAGCCAGGCCGCCTGCCTCAAGCAGATCCTCCTGCTGCAGCTGGACCTCATCGAACAGCAGCAGCAGCAGCTACAGGCCAAGGAGAAGGAGATCGAGGAGCTCAAGGCCGAGAGGGATTCGGTACGGGACGGGTTAATTGCGGTTCGGCTGCTGGGGGAGCGATGCGCATGCTCCCCCTGGAGGAGGGGGTGGGTGGTGGGGTTAAAGGGCATCGCATGGTTAGGGGCGGTGTAGGGCCGCGGTCCACCTAGAGTTAACTTTGGGTGGCGGCGGGGGCTGCAGCTTCTGCTGAGGCGGTAGTGGTGGTGGTGGTGGTACGCATGTTTCTTTAGAGACACTGGGGTTAAAGGGCAAAGGCATGGTGAAGCAGGAGGGAAGGCTTTGCGCATTAAGGGGTTAAAATGGTAACTGGGTTTGGGAAATGCTGAAGAGAGAAGGGAACCCGGCAGCTAGGAGGTTAAATCCATGGGAGGGGGGACAACGACACACAGAAAAGCGCTGTGGGGTGCCTAATGTGAAGCTTGTGTGGAAGGGGTTAACTTAAAGGGCTACAGGGTTTGTAATGCATTGTGGGGGAGGGAGAGCAGCTGCTGCTCCAACCACTGCAGCAACATCCTTTAGCAGGAGGGATAATTGGCCCTTTTGTGGCAGGAGGTCTAGGGGTGAAACCCCACTTTAGATTCTAAAGAAAATTATATCGAACGAATCCCTGCCTTTGATTCCAGGGGGTCTGCAGTAGGAACCTGAGCTATAAAAACACACCCACACAGAAGAGCCCCTGTTTTGAGCTTGAGTACTGACTGTTTGAGGCTGGAGGGGTCTCCATAGGACGTTGCCAAGAGAGAGCATGTTGAATGTACTGGAAAGATGCAAAATTCTCCTTTTAGGAATGTCAGAATAATAAAAAATGATTTAATATGTTGTCTTTTTCTTGGAGGAAAAGAATATCCAGCCATATTTTAATAATTGGTAATTGAAGATACATCCATTTTAAGGACTGTTCCATCACCTTGAAATGTCAAAAAAGCAGTGGGGTACCATGGTCTACCATAGCCCAGGTCCCCATAACCTGAGGCTTTGCAGCTGTCTAAAAATAAACCTGTTCCCTGTTTCTACACTTGTCGTGTTCAGGCTGCAGTGGACTTTTTTTTTTTTTTTATTTGGCTTTGTGTGCGCCAGGGGATGAGCAGGGGAGCAGAGTGGCATTGCTGTTTTGTTTGCTTTCCAAATGATTCGCATCAGGCGGCAGTCAATCCTTTTATTCGAGGGTGCAGTCTTCAAGGTGGGATGGGAGCTGGGACAGGTCTCCTCAAAACATTTCATGGTGTTGATTTGTGGAAGTTACCCAACATGGAGGTGGCCCTGCTCTGCTACTGTACTGCAGTCAAAGGGTGTGATGGTACTGTAATTACAACACATCCTATCCTTACGTGAGGGACTTGGAGGGGAGGAGGGCTGGACGGGAGGAGGGGGGAAGAGAAGAAATCAAGGAAATGTCACCCACAAACCGTGGTTAAGTAACGTTAAGGCTGTGACTCAAAACAGATACCAGGAGATGAATTGAGAGTTATGGCTGACACTGGGGGGGCCCTTTCTGCTGATTGTCGAGGTCTCTGCTCAGTTCCTGAGGTAATGGTCCCTACGAACTGCTCTCCTAGGCAGAAAGAGTGGGGTGAGTTGAGGATAAAAGAGTGTCAGTCTTAACTTGGCATTCACTGCTTCTGTTGTGTATTGCAGTCTTAGCGTTGCTTAAGCTTCTTTCTCTTATTCCATTTCTGTTGGCCTCTGAACTGGATCTTTGCAGCTGAATGGTATAATGGAGGTAGCGTTGATTACTGTGTAACTAAAAGGAAATTCTTGTTTTAGGTTATGAATTGAATGGTTGGCACCTTTTCTCCAAATATTTTAATTTGAAGTATTGAATGATAGTCAAGGCCTCCATCCTTTTTGTTTGATGATTTCAGTTACCTTCTTCCTTTATTTTTTTCTTTTAGAATGGGGGGAGGGAATTATCAGTATTCTTAATGTGGCATATAAGTCATTTATGGCAATTGACCTCAAATGCTGAGGTTACATGCAGGATTTCCCTTGAATGATCAATGAGATTTTAAGGAACTGATTTCTTTCCTAAATCCTTCAATTGGAGGACTTACTGTTTTCCAGAGAGTTTTTCAGTAGCAGTGAGGTCCTCAGAGTGGCACCTCCTGTTGTGAGATCTTATTTCATGCACAACATGCCATTTGGACCTTGTCTTTACATATGAGGATTTGGGAAGGTACAACTTAGAAGAAGAATGGAGGTGTAGAGAGAGGGTGGGATCTGGGGAAATTTGGGACCTACCAAAAGGTGAATTCTAAAAACTCCATTGCTGATTTGGGGCTGCTTTATTGGCAGCATAAGATCAGAACACTGAAAGAAGAGGTCTGTTCTCCTGCTTTTGGGAGGCATCTTCTACCAGAACAATAAGGTATATCCTGTATTCATTGCTGTTTAACCCCTACAGTTAATGGTGTACCTTTGTCTCCCATATCATGTGTGTTGAGGAGAGTTCTCCAAACTGCTGTTTGTCTGCTAATGAAAAATTAGTTGAATCTGATAGGGAAGGGGGAAATACATGATCCTGCCTCCCAAATAGGGCTGAGTACCTGTGTTTAGTTTTTATATTAAGTCTATGGTTTGTAACTTTTTCCTTTGTAGCTCCTTGCTCGGATTGAACGTATGGAAAGACGGATGCAGCTGGTGAAGAAGGATAACGAGAAAGAGAGGCACCGGCTGCTTCAAGGCTATGAGACTGAAGAGCGGGAGGAGCCTGAACTTTCTGAGAAGATTGAGCTGGAATGCCAGACCGAACTTTCAGAGACATCCCAGGCCCTGCCATCAAAACCTTTCTCATGTGGACGGAGTGGGAAGGGACACAAAAGGTAACACAACCGTCCCTGCCTGGACTTTAGGCCTGGGGCAAGTACGTCCACAAGGCCTGTATCTGGAAGGGAAAGGAATGCACAAGGGGTGGGTGATCTGAGACATGGGGCAGAGGCCAAGATTCGCCAAATGGTCAGTGAGAAGAGTTCCTCCAGACAATCCCAACAGTCAAGTCAGCCAGTGTTTCAGATGCCTTTTCTGCACCTGAAGTCTGCCAGCAACATGGGTGGGATCACAGAAGCCACAGAAACAAATCAGCCCTATGGAGATAGCATAACACAAGTAGGGATGAAGTGGACAAAGCCCTGGGGTCAGGAAGATCTGGGTTCAAATCTGGTCTCAGGTAGTCATTAGCTGTGTGACTCTGGTCAAGTCACTTTCTTTCCTGCCTCAGTTTCCTTATCTGTAAAATGAATATAAAAATAGCACCTACCTCCCAGGATTGATGTGAGGATCAAATGGAATG